TTATTAACAATCCCTTCTTTATTGCAGGGATTTTTGTTATTTATAAAAATAATCTTCTGAGAAATTCTCCTAAATCTAATCATGTCTGAGATATTCACAAGATTAATGCTTATAATTTAAAAAATAATGGAATAGTGCACACTTCCGAACCTTTACTATTTCACGGCTGAAATGGGGTTGAGAGGCAAATACATTTGCGATCTTTCTAGAGCAAGAAATTGCTGAAAAGCACTTTGGTGAGGGCTAATGGGGTCAGCTGGATTTGATTATACTGAAAGTAGGAAATTTGACGGGTATTTTATAAATTCTTGGATTTTTTTAATTGTTTAGATTGCGCAAATCTACAAGATCTATTTACACTATCAGTAATTATTAGATAATAATAATCCGATAAAATTTTTAGTTTCTAATTCTCAATTTCTGTCGTTTATTCTATTCATTCTATCAAAAGATAAGGATAGAAATTAAATTTATGGGTATTCTTTCATTGTTCGAAAAAATATATCGATTTTAAAACTTTGAAAACAAAAATAATTTTTTAATTTCTTTCCGTCTACCTTTTTTTGGCATTTTGTTAATTTCATCTCGTTAAAAATGAAATCATAAAATTCCACAATATTCATATCCTGTCTATATTCAATGAAAAAACAGTGATTCCAAGTTTCCACCGACAGAAATGATGAAAAGGTATAACTTGTGAATTAAGGAAAAAAATATGTATATAATAAGAATACGAATGGATAAAATCACATTAATCTAATTGTAAAGACGGAAAGGAAAATAAAATAAAATAAAATAGTATACATTCAGTAGTGAAGTGGTAAACCGGTACAAGTCAATTTTGACTTTTTCGTGTATCGTGCTAGGTATCCCTGGCTGATATTAATTTATTTTCTAGAAAAAGTAAAAAAAGTTCGATTACTGGTTTGGTTTGATCACTGGGCGGTTTGCTCTATATGATAGCAGGTTTTGAGAAATAAAAGCAAATTGAAATATTTTGCTAAAATTCAGTAGCGAAGTCGTTAAAGAGTACAACTCAATTTTGACTATTGACCAGTTTTGAATGAATATCTCGGAATCTAAGGGATAGCAATTTTTTTGTTATAACCTTTTTTGTAGAGCCAATTGAGAGCTACAACAAATGTAATTACGAAAACTACACTATCTCCCGCTGATTCGGAAATATTCCTCAAAAACTCAACAGGGAGATGAGTCTACTTGAGGTACTTCCTCAGTGAGTTATACTTGGTGAAAATTTCGCAATGAACTAAAGACCTAAAATTTGGATCATATGTTGTTGAGGACATGCAAAAACGACTCTCAAAATTTCGAGCATTTTTTCCACGCGAATTTTTGAGATATCCATCGTTCAATTCAATCTTGCGACGGTCGCGAAGCGCCTGTTCGGTAATGTTCTATTAACTTAAGGCCCGGGGGTACTATCTTTCGAATGTTATCTGGATTTTTTTTATCTTTCGTAATCCAAAATTGTCAATTGAGTGGTACATCATGTAGAAATTCCCAAAAATTATGATAGAATGATAAAAAAAATAGAGAAAATTCTGAACTGTTTCAAAGAGCTTTTTTAATTGAGATTCAGAATGAGATGAAAAAAGTGGAAATTACAAATATCTGATTCGCTGTGGCAAATTGTCTATTAGCTGTTATTTTTCATGCTGGATAACAAAACATTAACTCCTCATGGGATGTGACAGCTAGGTATCTCAATTTTCAAAACAGTGGTATGTAGTCATCTGCCATTTTTATGTGATAAAACTGTGATTAAAAAATTCTCCAAAATATTACAACTTTTTTCAAAGAGCCTTTTGCGTAATAAATGTCTCTGTGCAGTGTGGGAAAATATTTACGAAATCAGTCTTCCCCCTGCATGATATTGGGTGACAGGCAGCCATTTGTCACCGTAAATCAGATACATTTTTCAATTTCCTGTTATTCAACTTATTCTGAATATAAATTAAAAATGCTCTTTGAAAAAATTGAGAATGTCTTCTACTTTTTTTTGATTATTCATTCATGATTTTTCAAAACTTCTCATGATGCAGGACACAATTGACAATTTCAGATGACGAAAGATGAAAAAAAACCTGGAGATAACGTTCGAAAGATAGTACACCCGGGCCTTAAGCTGAACATTTGCACTTCGTACAATCATAGATTTTACTATTTACGATGAATTTGTGTAGTATTTTAAGGATTTTTGTCTCTGTTGTTTTCAATAAGAGGGTGATTGAGTTCGTAAGTGGAGCTTTAAATTGTTTCAATTCTCTCTAATGAATGTCGTCCTTTCATTGTTCAGAGTGTGGGACAGTGCCACGGAATGTGGTCAGAGTCTTGAGTTTCGTACCCACAGGTGCAGTTCACATCGTCAATTATGTGTGTTCGTTTTAATGAGACTTTCAAGTGATAATGGTTAGCACTGACTCTGTTGACCCATGTGATCAAGACTCTGGGGTGTATTCTACCCTTAAGGGGGACCGGAGTGAAATTTGAAAGTCTCCCGTTGATGAAAATAACTATCGAGCGAGCTTTAGTATATCATGGGGGACCTAAAAACTTCGTACCTAACCCATTTTACCCCGTACGTCAGGCAGAAACGTCTTTTTCCGTGATTTGGCTTTGGAATGCTTCTCGTACCACAATTTTTATCGGATTTAATTCCGTTTTTTTTTTTAAAAGTTCGTTAGATTCCACGGAGTGAAACTAGGTATTTTTTCGATTATTTCAATTAGATCATAGGAAAATTAATTTTTTACGGTTTACTCGTTTTTTCCCCTTTTATACCGTATAAAAATCATTATTCTGAACACCTGTTATGTACCATTTTAATGTTCAGCAACTCAAAATAATAATTTTATATAAAAAGGGAAAAGAACAAGTAATGATTTAATTGAGATGATCGAGAAAACATACCTAGTTTTATTCTATGGAATCTAACGAACATTTTGATAAAAAAAAGTTTGAATGGGATAAAAAATGTGGTGCGAGCAGCATTTCAAAGCCAAATACACGAAAAAAAACGTCTTCGCCTGACGTACGTGGTAAAATGGCTATCCATTGATAAAATGGAAATTTTTTTGTAGTTCTTTAGTACCCCAATATAGATCAAAACACGTTCGATAGTTATTTTCATCAACAGAAGATTTTCAAATTTCACCCTGGTCCCCCGATAACACAGGGTTTGAAATACTCTCTGCAGAATTATTCGAAGAATTCGAACTCTTTCAGTTTAACTTCAGCCTGGTATTTCTACCCGAGTCGAGGATTTGGTTCTGATTGGACGTACACAGGTCTCTCAAGATTTCTCCAGACCTAGATGGACCTGGTAAGTCCTAATCAGGTCTGCGACGTACTTTTCCGGATACCTTTCGAATACTCAGTTCTTTTCGGCCATGAGAAGTCCGTAACTACAGGGTTGAAGAATATATTTTAGCCACGCTCATCTCCCCGTTTGCAGGTGGTGTTTAAATAAAAATTAGTGAACGTTGATTCTGTATTTATTGACCCCCTGATGTGAATGAAACCGTCGGAGGTGACAGAAAAGACGAAAAACAAATTTTCATTTTCACGTAGGTCAAGGGTCAGGGTGGAAGTCGATTATCGCCAAAAGTGAATTTTTTTGCCAAGTGAAGGGTGATTCTGTATTTTCTAACGATTCTGATGCCAATGAAACCACCAGAGGCACGACAAATGTTGAAATAAAATTTTTTTTTCACCCGGAGGCAAAGGGTCAGATTGTCGGTATTTCCGGGGGGAAAGTCGACTTTCGCCAAAATCGAATTTTTCAGCCGGGTGAACGTCGATTCCAACTATTTAAGCGACGGGTTATTCAGAACTCTCAAAAGTATGTGGAAAAAGTGAAAACTGAGAAACCGTTTTTTTCGGCCCCAGCCAAAGGGTCCGATTTTCGGCTTTTCCGGGGCAAGTGGATTTAAGCCAAAATCGAATTTGTTAGCCGGGTGAACGTTGATTCCAACTATTTAAGCG